CTGGTATTGCAAATGACCTGCATGAGGTGTGTGTGTGTGTGTGTCATGTACCTATGGCATTGCAAATGACCTGCATGGGGTGTGTGTGCGTGTGTGTCATGATCTAAAACCCTTCCCGTTCCACACCCGTTACACAATGGAGCGGTGCCTTTCAACACTGACTGCGGTCCTTCTCAGCTGTCCCTTCATTCGCCGTTGTTGTGTCTCAGCTGTTGTTGCCGTTGGTGTGTCACGGATTTTCTGTTTGTACTGCATTTGGGGGTGTGTGTAGTGTGCGGCTATGCGTGCGGGCGGCAAATGTGATATACAATATTTATTTATTTGTGCTCGTTTTTCTTTATATAGGCCCTTTTCTGCAATAAGTGCGATGTGATGTGTGCTATGAAGTGCTGTACGTAGTCTCGTCGTGGGCAGACATATTCCTCATCAGACTATCTTGTGGGTAAAAAAGGTTGCTGGTACCTTGCGACGGCTCAATGCTATTGATGATCTCTAGTATGCCAATGCATGCCACAACAGATATAGGTACACTTGTGTGACAAAGGCCGCACACCCAGACATTCATGCAGTCATCCAAGCGAAGTATCCGTGTACCCCCCACAACACTCATCTCTCCCTGCTCGTGACAGATGATTGTGTACTGCTGCGAGCGCGATGGCACGCCACGGCCGTACCGACTGGACGGCTACGACTTCGACAGTGAGTACACAGACAGAGACATTGTCTACATCCGCAGTGTAGAGGTCAAACACACCCACCGACACCGGGGAGTGGGTGTGCGCATGGTCAGAGGCCTCCTGGAATGGCTCAAGGGCGACTGGAGTATCGTCTTGACTGAGGTAGGGTTTCGTTGGAATCCACGTGGGTGAACTTAAACTAAGTTAAGGCCGTTGGCTCAATCTCATATGTTGGTGGACTACCACATCACAGCTTCGAAGGCAAAAGCCCAATAACAACTCAATAGCATTCGATCATAATGAAGTTGGGACGGTGTACCAACACGGATTGTGAGAACTCACGCATGCGTACTATTGAGTTCTGTAAATACAAGTACGCGGCATGGTACAGTCTTGATCTTATAAGATGTATTTACAATAGCAACTTGCTATGGTATGGTCTGAACGTATGGGAACTGTACACTAGCTGCTAGACTGCCGCTCATTGCTCTGTTCTTTGCTGACAGATAACTCTATTCTCATACAACGCCTTCTTCATACCTGTCATTTGAAGTATTAGTCAGTCATTTGTAGGCTCTCCATTTTATCTCACCTCCACGAATAATGTCCATATATAAGTCCCATACATGTCCTTGAAGTATTAGTCAGTCATCTCTAGGCACTCCACTTTGCCCCATCTCAATAATGTCCATATATAAGTCCCATACCTGTCCTTGAAGTATTAGACAGTCATCTCTAGGCTCTCCACTTTGCCCCATCTCCGCGGATAGCGTCCATATATAGGTCACATACCTGTCCTTAAAGTATTAGTTAGTCATCTCTAGGCTCTCCACTTTATCTCGCCTCCGCGAATAACGTCCATATACAGGTAGCGCAGAAAAACGATGAGGAGGCACCCCTCAGCAGCACAGTGCGGCGCAAAATTGTCCAGCAATTTCTTCGCATAGGGTTTCGCCAATGTAAGCCACGCTTGGGTTTCCTGTACCTGGTGCCCTCGCACATACCACCAGCTGATATGTGCGTAGAGCTGTTGTTGCCCCGAAGCGCTGTACCGGTCCAAAACATGCGCTTTGGGTTTGCGAGTCAGGAAAATCTGAAAACTCAGGGGTATGTGAATGAAGCCATAGTTGGCTTTATCGACAACGGGCCGGAGTTGCGGATGGAGAAATGCGCGTCCGATTTCGACGCATTCAAATCTGTGTTTAGTGAGCTGGTGGGGTCCGAGAGTTTGCTGGAGATCGTGTCTTTGGGCGAGCAATGGCTACTGACCTGTGAGCCCAGAGTCATCAAGAAAGCCGTCAGGAGGTGCAGCAAAACAGGGGTAGACCACAAGGCAAAGTTTCTGCATCGCGCAATTTCACGGTGGTGTGACGACAAAGTTAATTTGGGCCAAGTTTGTGATAATGGATCCTTGAAGGAAATGGTGCTGGGCGGAGTGATCAATGTCATATTGTCTAACTTAACAGCCATGAACAGACCGTTTGCACGCCATATAAAGGTCCCAAACCGAATGGATGTCAATGAGAAGGACATTCATGGGTACACACCCTTGCACGCAGCGGCTTTCGCAAACCTGCCCAAAGAAAGTGTGGAGGTACTCCTTGCGTGCGGTGCAGATAAGACCATTGAGAATGCACAAGGCTTCAGAGCCGTAGACGAGATATGGCAGAAGAATGAGGATGTACGAGACAATGAGTTTGTCATGCTGCAGGATACACTCCCTTACAATACAGTGGAGGAGAAAGATATAATGGAGAAACGACAGAGCAACCGGAATGCTCTGTTGTTGCTCATGCTTCCGGATGAGCAAAAGGTGCAGTTGGTAGATGGGATTCTTTCTCCTAGAATGAGGTTTAAGCTACTGAAAGCTCTCGATGAAGCTCTGGTGGAAAACATGGATTTGACCTCAGACATGCCCAGTGTGCGCACATTTGCCGAGCTAGCATTATTCAAGCGAGATCACTATAAACTGTTACCGGCAGACATGGTTGAGTGGGAGAAGATTCAATATGCGCGCATACCTGACCATATGCTTGATGGTTGGAAACAGGTTTTAAATGCGATCGAGGTGTGCTTGAAGCGGGATGAACATCAAATGCCCACCGTGGAAAGGATACGAAGAATTTTATATAGACGTTTCGACAGGACTCTAGCCAACAAGTTTTTTGCCGGGGGGGGAGTGTTGAGCAGGTTATATGTGCATTGCTCAGTGGGAACTTCACCTACCATTATACAGCATATAAGAGAACACTCACAGGAGTGGACCGTGAAAAGTACGAGGCCTTGCCACCGATACATGTGCTGGACTGGAATTTCGATCTGTTACGACACAATTTGTTGGGCACGCTGAAGCGCAATATACTGTTTGAATGGAATCTGAATGATAGGTAACTTTCGGAGGCGAATAAAGTACTATACTGTACTATTACTATACGGAATAACTTATTTTTCTGTTACGCATGGCTCTTTGAATTTGGCAGTTTTTCAAGGCCGTAATACTTTCGATAGTAGCTGATCTCGAATTCGTCGAGCACAGTCGATGCCATCTTGATGGTTAGATCCCCTTTATCTTTTAGTTCTATTTCTGTTTTCCTTCTACTAGCTAGAGAGAGTCATGCCTGTCACAGCCTTCAACTAGTAGAATAGTATTTCTGAACCCCCGAGAACAAATCCAGGAGACCACTCGGCACGCGCTATACGACAACATCAATCAGAGTGTGAATAGTATGATATTCAGGTAAATATCTTTAGTCGTCCGAGCGTCGGAGTTTGTTTTTTTTTGGGTGGCTTCAGGTGGGGGAAACGAGAAAAAAAGAAGAAAAAAAGAGGTGAAAGAAAGGAAAAGAAATACTGTATCTTTCTACTACTTTAAAAAAAAATTGTTCATTGGCCTTTTACATAAAACAAAAAAAAGTAGTATATATCAACAACGGTCAACAACTATTTTTAATTTTTTTATTAACAAAAAATATTGCTTTCGAAATTCGAATTTGTACATTTATTTTGTTGTAGAAAAGTTCGGACTGGCTACTCTGGTTTAGGCTTCTGACTGCTGAGGTGGTCCAAAATCAACAACGGTCAACAACTGTTTTTTTAGTGGATTTTGCACTTCAGAACTAATACATATTTAAATTGATACCAACGTCGCTTGTTTTCACAACAAGCGGCTCTGCTAGGGCAGTACTGGAGTGCTGGGCCAAAAACTTGTGTGTTGTTTTTTTTTCAGTGTTTTCATAAACCCTAAAACCCTAAACCCTAAAACCCTGTTTACTTGCTCTTACAAAGATATAACATGAATGTAATCGTTTTATTAGTCGTTTAATCTTGTTTGTGGGTTTTACTTTTTTTGTATATACATTTGAAAAACAAAATGCTTTTTAGTTTTATAAAACAAAACTAAAAAGAGCATAGCCAATCAGACAAATCGGATTTATTTATTTATTTTATACCCAATTTTAATAAATCTCATAGTGGTGTCCTACTGTAATTTTAGTGGTGGAAGGAACTGCAAAGAACGAAGTTTAAAATCAAGCAAGTTTTAATAAATATTCTATTTTATTTTTTGCAATTTATAAATAAATAAACAAATAAATAAACCTTTTTGTCTGAAAGTTCTTTTTTCCGACAAAGGCTTTGTAAGAAAAATAGGGTTTAGGGTTTTTATTTCAAAATTTTGCGGCCTCGCATCACATACCTGGCTTGGCTGGCGTCTTGGACTCCTGACCCAGGAGGCCGTGATAACCGCTGCACTGATGCAGGGGCCGCTATTGCCGAATACATCAGTTTTCAAGACCTGTCAGTCATATAAGAATTCCAACTTTTTTTTGAAAATCGGCCATATTTTTAATGTACAGTTTCTCAAACTTTACAATAACGCATATATAGTTTTGTGCTCACCACTGTACGTGTATTGTACAAATTACTTGCCCACATTTAAATAATCCTACAATCCACAGAGGATTTTATATGTGCGTTCTCTGCAACAATCATCAATCGTCTTAAAGGCTAACATGCGTCTGAAGCTAAAATCATCTCTATCATCTGTACTATTCAGATATATAAGCAAAATTTCATCCACAGAAGATGAAAAATGTGAAGATTTATATATGATGGATGGATTGAGTCATATATTTCACGATGCACCTCCCTTAGAGCATTTGAGAGAACGTGCGAATACAGATAAAACGTTTGACAGCAGCCGTGGATTTTACGACAGAAAGGTAGAACCAGTCAGAGATGTTAAACTAGCCATCGATGGTAAACAAAAGAGAGAGATAGGAACAACAAATGATGCAGAACCAATCAAGGATGCGAAAACAGCTAATGATGAAGAATCAACCAGCACCAGCGTAGATATCAAATGGAGCACTCAATGCAATCAAATATGTAGAAGAAATAGTACGGGATATGAGAGACGGACGAGGAAACACCTTTCGGCTGATAACCGCCGTAGCAAGAGTAAGATCAGGCAGCTTATAATTAGATTTGAAAATATTCCAGAGCTTGAAGTAAGCTTCAACAAGAATGTGACGACAACCAAAACATACTCGTCTTCTGAATATAATCGCTCAACCGATTATGAGACAGTAGGAGGTGACAGGAAATCATTCTGACAAAATATTTTTAAAAACAATTGCCCATGATGTGTTCACTACTCCATCGTTGATTCCAAAACGATCCCTTTATGTAGGCACTGCATACACATACGTACATGCATTCATGCATATATATGTACATACATACATACATATTTACAAATATAAGTACGCACTAGGTCATAGCCTCCTTAGAAAAGGCTCTGGTAGTGGGAAATCGGGGGGTACTGTTTGTGGGGCTCTGGGAAATTTATTTTCCGTCAGGATTTCCCACAATTTTCAAGCCTTCATAAATCACTCTACGATCATATCAGGGCCTATGTCCCAAACTTTATTTTTCCAAATAGGAATTTTGAAAACGTTATCGAAATCGTTAGCTACGTTTATCAGTATAGAACAGTTTATGGTCTATTGGCTCCGCGAGGCAATTGCGGGATAATATCATATTTGATTGAACATGGAAAAGATAAATATGGATTATGATACGCTGTTGTTATACAAAATGTAGTATTACTGGTCTATTCTAAATATAAAGGTATAGTTCTCCGCCTCCAAATTAATAATCAAGTAAAATTGGCGTGTTTATTGAGTGCTGTCACCTACATGCCGCCAGTCAGCCTGTGGCACTCGGCAGCAGGTATCACCCCATACAAAGAAAGGTTAAAACAACTATTATAAACGCTACATACGCTGCAGTAGTCTTCTGGTATGAGCTTTCATCTGGCGCAACGAAAGCAGCGTAGCAGCGCGAAAGTAGAGCAAGAGCGCAACTGACTGCTCTATCTACAAATGGTTAACAGACGACTACAGGGGTCTCCCATAGTTGCTACTATCTTCCCCAATACTGGCACACAACTGACAATAGTTGCAGACAATAGACCAGATATTCACCACGTGAGACGTGCTCTGAATTTACTCAGTCAATAAAATAGTTGAATTGATGCAGTATGCAATATATTTGGTTACAAGTGAATAGCGTATTGATTTGCATTAAAAGTACACCCGAAGATATTATAGTATGTATTTTATTAAATGAACAATCCATTTTAAGGAAGTCCACAATGTAATCCTTGTAGCGAGCCTCGTTACCTTTATCTCCTTCTATATTCATAATCCCTACCTTAAAGCATCCTGGTGTACATTCGAGCTTTTTCTGCTATTCTAAATACTCAATATCGAGAAATTCTTCACCAGCTAACAAACACAGCACAATAGTCATATCTGAACATACACACACACAC